AGCAGAGACAGACATCCACAGAAATACACTGAGCTGAAATCTGGAACCTAGTTGAAGAGAGGGAGGAATGAAGAACGAAGGGGTCTGTACCAGGTTGGAGAAACCCACAGAAAGTCGGCCTGAAAAAGGGAAAGCATATTGACCCCAGACGCTTTTTGGGTGGCCAGTACGGGACTAATCCAGCCCCCTGATCATGGATGCCAATGGGGAGGCCCCTGCACTCCTGGGAGCCTCTGGAGGTGGACTGGCATTTTGCCCTGGTGTGTGTGTGGGGGACTTCAAGAGCCCAATAATAATAATAATAATAATAATAATAATAATAATAAAAAGAGAGAAAAAAATAATGGGAGACCTGAAAATAAACAGAATAGCAAAAATAAAATGATATGCTCTATAGCATTTTCCCTTTCTCTTTGTCACTTCCTTCCCTGCCACTGCTCTGTGCTGCCTCCTTGGCCTGCTGGAACTTAGAATACTAGCCTTCCCTACCCTCTACAAGCTGTAGAAGCTTGACTTTGCCTTCCAGTTGTCCTCAACCCTCATCCAAAATCTCAGCTGTTCCACCCCATTTTCACTCTCTCAGGGCTTTGTTTTCTGCTGGCAAGAGAACCAAAGAGTTACGAAAAGAATTAAGGCTGATAAATGTTCAGTGAGATCAACCCTTTCTTCAAGTTGTATTTCTGCTGTGGCTGCTGCTTCAGGAATTTCTTTCTTTTTTTTTAATTTTTTTTTTTTTAATGTATACAATGCTTTGCCTCCATGTATGACTACAGGCTGGAAGAGGGCACCAGATCTCATAGATGGTTGTGAGCCACCACATGGTTGCTGGGAATTGAACTCAGGACCTCTGGAAGAGCAGTCACTGCTCTTAACCTCTGAGCCATCTCTCCAGCCCTGCTTCAGGCATTTCTAATCTGTTGGCTATTGGTATGGTTTTTGGCTAATGATGATTGCTGGGTGTGTTTGGATGGAGAAGAAAATGTTGACTGTGAAATGTGTGAAATTGGGTTCTGGGCTAATATATTACCTACACATTTTCATATTCCAGATTAGGTAGGCGCACGACAGGGGCACAGGGTGGGTGGTGGACAGAGAAAGGAGGTCAATAGGTACTGCGGAGAGGTCCTGGGCCTTATTTTTAGAAATTTATTCCAGAAACAAAAAACACAGGAAGTAAATGTTTATGGGAGTATATTTTATATATTTTTTAAAAAAAGAAATGAAACAAAAACAAAATATAGGGGAAACTGAATATTAACTGGGAAAACCTGAGTGAATTTTCATTTCATTATTGAAAAAAATGGATAACAAACATTTAAAAAGTATATACTTTAAGAAGGAACTTTAAATTTAAGTACTTTTTTTTTTTTTTTTTTAGTGGTTTGGAAAATGGCTCTAGTTTTAAAGGTGGAGATATTAGGTATAAAGACTATTAATCTGAAGAAATGTTGTCAATAAATCTCATTGCTTTGTAGCCAGTCATGGTGGTGCATGTGTCTTTAATCCTAGAAGTCTCAGGAGGCAGAGGCAGGTGGATCTCTGAGTTCAAGGCTATCCTGCTCTACAAAGTGGGTTCCAGAACAGCCAGAGCTACATAGAGAAACCCTGTCTTAAAAAAATAAACAAACAAAAACAACACAAAACAACAGAACAAACATTGCACTGCTTTTCCAAGGCAATGATAATACTAATAAATAATAATAATAAACTTTAAAAATAAAATCTGATTTGGTGACCTCGAGGAATGTAGATACGCACATATAACTAATACACATGACAAACACAATTTAAAAACAGAAAAGCTGTGATAACTGGGATGGTCGTGGGTGCATATTCTGTGATTCCAACACCTGGGAGGTGAAGGCAGGAGGATGGAAAATTTGATGGCAACCTGAGCTACATAATGAAGAAATCCTGGCAGGAAAAAAAAAAAAGGAAAGAAAAACAAGAAAAGATGAACTATCTTGTTAAAGGTAGCACTGACACAATTTAAATGGTTCTTAACACAAAATGGAAACCAGGCCTTCCATCCATCTTCTATTACCATCTCCTCAGAGTCCTTCCAGACACACTGTTTAAGACTTTTAACACAACCAGTAGCTAAAATACCAGGAATGCCATTCTTCACATTTATCGTTTATGTTGAGAGAGGGTCTTAGGTATCCCAGGGCAGTGATACTTAGTGATAGGTAAGATGCATGAGCTGCATAGTGATATATAACATGAGTCACACTCACCACGTAGCTGAGGATGACCTTGAGTTTCTGACCCCACAGTTCCTTCTCTCTGAGTGTTGGAATTACAGGCAAGTGAGTGCCAGCACATCGGGTTGAAGCAGTACTATGGGTTAAACCCAGGGCTTCATGCATCCTAGACATGCACCCTACCAACTGTGATATGTCCCTAGTTCCCTATACCTTGCATTTAAAAAAAGTGAATACAGTATATGGAAGTTGGACCATAGTAGGAAATCACAGGTTTGTTTGCTGTCTAGGTATATGCTATTCCATTCATTGTAGTGTATCACACCACAATTCATTTAAGTAGCCCAATGAAACTTATTTCCAATATTCTTTTTGTGTGTATGTAACCTGTAGTGGTTCGCATGAGAATGACTGCCATAGGTTCACATATTTGAACATCTTATCCCCAGTTGGTAGAACTGTTTGGGAAGGATTATGGGTGTGGTCTTGTTGGAGGAGGTGTGTCACTGGGGGAAGGCTTTGAGGTTTCAAAAGAGCCATTCCCAGTATGTGTGTGTGTGTCTCTCTCTGTTTCCTAGTTGTGGATAAGGATGAAAGCTCTGCCTGCTGCTGCCATGCTCTCTGCTATGATGGTCACAGACCCTAACCCTCCAAAACCACAAGACCCAAATAAACTCTTTCTTCTATAAGTTGCCTGGGTTATAGTGTTTTGCCACAGCAATAGAAAAGTAACTAAGACATATGTGCATGCATTGTCGCCAATGTTCTTTAGAACAAGTCCTTAATTTAGCACCCAGGAGTGGTCTTGACATGCTGAATGTTGTGCCTTAAACTATTTGCACACAAAATAATGCACACATTTGAAAGGAGATAAAAGATTCAATCTTTACGAGGTCCTCAGAACCCTGGGATGTTAGTCCAATGGTTAACAACCTCATGGTGACAATTCTATCAGAGACTGCTCACGTGTCACAAGACAAATGGACCATCCAAATATAGGGAAGTCAATGGCATTTTTCTGTATTTTCATTTGCAGTGTTCATTCTGTCTTCCTTTTAGTCCCTCATATCAACACCAATTATTCTACACGTGTCACCAGACAAGCAGGCCCCTTTATACCTATGCATGGTCTTCATTACTGGGCTGAAAAAAAAACCATTGATGATAAAGTAGTTTTCTGGCCATTACCTGTCTGTAATAATATGCTTGTCGCTGCAATTAGTTTCCCCATCTCTGGCTTGCTTTTCTGTCATTGCTGTCCCTGGAGTTCTGTTAATAGCAGAGACTGACTGACTAAACTATTATTCTGGTCTGTGTAATGGAGCTGACAGTAGAAGCATTCTGTCCCACCCACCCCCTTTTTTTGACAGCTTGGTATGATTTGTAAGGGTGTGAAGTGGAATCGCTAATACTTCTTGGCTTTATTACATTAACCTGGAAGGCATTCTACCTAAGAAATGAATCCAATATTAAATTGTCTGTTTTATGAGTTTTCCTTTAATAATTTTTCTAATCTTTACAATGTTTCCACAGTGTCAGTATTTTCTGATCTCTATTTCCTGAGATTAATACGGCAACTTCATTTTATGAACACTTTTATTAGTCTTTCATTATTTTTGAGGGGAGACAAAGAGGAGCAAAGACATATTTCTGAGTTTTCTTCTCTGTTCCTCCCCAGTTTCTGGCTGATGCCTGAACCAATTAGGCAAGGGTTCAGAGAAGCCACAAACCTTCATTTCTAATGACAATACCACTAAAATACCAAGAGAACCTCACAAAATCCCCAGTCAAAAATCAAGCAAAAAATTTACCAGTACTGAGGGGCTGAGGTGACCCTGAAGGCCCGGGGGGGGGGGGGACAAGTATGGGAAGGCACAAGGCCAGTGTGCACTTGGGAAAAATCCCTCAGGCAGCCATAGTTCAGAAGATGATGAAAAGCTTGAGCAAGCTCAGTTTAGAAGGAAGCTGCAGTAATCTCGGCACAAAGGCTGAAAGTGGGCCAGCATGCTGGGATGGAAGGAAGGAGGCAGTTTTGAGGACGGGTCACAAGGTCAAGCCAGCAGGTGACAGTGACTTAATAGATGTGAATGCAGAGAAGTAATCATTACATCCCAGTCTACAGGACCTTCCTACATAATCACATTAGCCCTGGTAACATCCTCCATGACGAGGTATTACTATGGCATTTTATCTATGAGGAGACTCTAGAGGCCCTTCGAGAACAGGGCAAGTGCTAAAAGTCACACAGCAATTGTGCAAGAGCCTTCTCTACTCCAAACCCAAATAGCTAGATACTGTGTTATGCATCGAGAAGATTCAGGGGTGGCTTCTGTCTCTCTAGGGAAGGCTGTTCGCGTGAGGCTGTCACCTCACCAGGTGAGGTGAGAAATATAGGAGGCAGGGTTACAAGAAAAACTCCCAATGACTTCACAGTTAAGAGCAGTGGTTAAAGTCAGGTGGGGCATACAAATTATACATTTTGCTGAAAGACAGTCCTGATAATTAAATGTTGTGCAATGAAGTGGTAGAAACCAAGGCGCTGAAAAGGCTGAGTGTGAAACATGAAACTGTAGCTGCGCCAAATGTCTGCTGTTCAGCTTCCTGTTTGAAGATGTCTGTTATCATCTGCTTTATGATACAGAAGAAATTCTCGGCATTTTAACCAAGTTTCCATCTCGCACTATATAGCAGGCTCTAAAAAGGCAACATCTGTTTGGTTTGTATTGTTTCCCCATCTCTGTCCTTCTCTGACACTTGTAACATCAAAAGGTTCAGATAAGAAAATGGTATTAGCAACAATGTTAAAAAGGTCTCAGAGGTTTTGCTTTGTTTAGGGAGTCCTGAAAATGTTGTGTAGCAAATGTAATGTGAAAAATAAACAAGACAGAATAAAAAGACGGCTGGGAATGCAGAGCAGTTGGCAGCATGATGAATGAAGCATTGGGTTTGATCCCCAGTGATACACAACTCTTCTGGTCTCTGGACTCATGTACACCACACACACACACACACACACACACACACACACACACACACACACACACAC